AAATTATAATAACAAATAATAATAATAATTATAAATATTAAAAATTAGAATAATAAATAATAATAATAATGATAATTATTATAAATTATAAATTATATAAAAATAATAATTAATAATAATAATGATAATAATTTAAAAAAAAAAAAAAAAATATTCCGTCCGGCCGGCCGGACCGGACGGACCGGTTCCGACCGGCCGCCGGTTCCGGTCAGGCACGGTCCGTCCGGCCGTGCTTTCCGGACGGTATTTGCTCCGTCCGGCCACCGGTTCCGGACGGGCTTTAAGCCGTCCGGCCGCCGGTTCCGGACGGGCTTTAAACTGTCCGGAACCGACGTCCGGACACGAATTTTTTCGTACTTCGGAATTTGACGACATTTCACCGTACACTTCTCTGAGATGTTTACGAAAAATGAGAGGGGCAAAATTGTCCAACGGGGGCGGTGACTAGTAATTTGGGGGGCGGTGAATAGTAATGCCCATTGTTATTAACTGTCCTATTACCAGTGTTTTTCAACCCGGACCGGCCCGGCGGGTCGACCCGGAGCTGGAACCGGTCTGGGTGGGCTATTCGGACTGAGAAACAACGGACCCGGTCAAATCCGGTCAACCCGGCATTGACCCGGCTGGGTCAACCCGGTTGACCCGGTTCTATATATTTTTTTTATTATTTTTTTTATTTTTAATATATTTTTTGTTTTTAAAAAATAAAACTATTTATATATATTTATATGGTCAATATTTATCATGAAATACATATTATTAGCACTTTAATGTGCAAATTTTATATACAAAATATTTAATTTTGTTATTTTTATGTATATTTATAAGACAAAATACTCTATATATAATTTAAAAAAAGTTAAAATTAATTATCCGGTTCAGCAATTGACCCGGTGACCCGGCGGTTGAACCGGTGATCCGGTGACCCGGCGGTTGAACCGGTGATCCGGTGACCCGGAGACCTGCCCGGGTCGATTCTCGGGCCGGGTTTAAAAACTATGCCTATTACTACGTATCGACGATATAGACCATTTTTCCCTTCTTATAATGTAAATTTTTTTAAAAAAATTTCTCTATCTCACTCTCCCTTCTCATCACCTCGCCGCGACCATTTTTCCCTTCTTATAATTTAAATTTTTTTAATAAAATTTCTCTCTCTCACTCTTCCTTCTCATCACTTCGCCGCCGCCCCACCACACCTCCAAAAAAATTTCAAAATAATGGAACATCTTCGTCAAAGCCGAGGCAAATGATTCATGATTCGCTGTATATTTTTTTTCAATTAGTAAAAAACTTTAAAAACATTTTAAAGTTGCAGCCAAGCTGGCCGGCCGCGGACATTGTGGCCGGCAGCCGATCACGGCCAGCACTGGCACGAGTTGTTTTCATCGCTCGGCCGCCTACATGTTGAGATCTATGAGGATCTCGTTATGTACATGTTACGAATTCAATAGCAAATGTAAACCTATGCGCAGCGAATCTAAAGGTTTGACGTAGAAAACTTACGGCTTAAAATTTTTTGAATCTGTCTGATTCGGGATGACCGGGAACAGCATACGAACGGATCGAATGGAAGGCGGGTCGTGTCCTGCGATCGGGTCGTGTGGAGTGATGATCGGCCGGTCGTCGTGGGCTGTCTGGGTCGTGTCACGACGTCGCGTCAGCTCCGGCTTTTCAGCAGAAATCGTCCGACTGGTCGTGGCTCGTCGACGGCGGTCCGGCGGATCACGATTATCTGCTCCGGGGATGGAATATATTCGATCACGGGGTCTCGATTACCTTTGGGATCTTCTACTGTATTACTCACACACCTCTTCAACTCGCACCGGTGGAGCAACGACAAGAAGATAAAGCTCGAATGAGATCTAGAGAGAGATAGAGAGGGGTGACTGACTTCACTTGTAATTGTGATTCTCTCCTCTTCTCATGAGCTTAATTATGTATATATAGAGCTATAGTAGGGATCCTTAAGAGAATATGATATTAGGGCTTCTTAAGTAATGGACTAACTGTGATCAAGCCCACTCCTCCAATTACTTAAATAATATTACGGTCCACTAACGTAATATTATTGTACTCCCTTTTCAGAGCCCAAATTACATTTGAGACTCCAATAATAATTATTCAATTTACCTCCTCATGTTTAAAACATAATGTCCATTAATTTATATATTTTATATTACCGAAGCTAGCGCTCGTTCATCACATTATTATTATGTTGGAACTTAATCCACCTGCAGGGTTTAGCATAACAATCCTTCATGACCTCACTTCGAGGAAATCATCAAACTAAACGTACATAGTGACCGTAAATATCCTAACAGCATATCATAGATACAGATATTACTCCAGACAGTAGGAATATTAGTCCCGCGAACTAAACCTCACCCAAGTGAATCAAAGTAATATGTACTACATATATATATGTGTGTTTAATATCTTACGGGTTAAGAAAACTCAGTAATTAACCGAGGCCTAGTTCGTTTACGACGATCAGTATAAAACGTACTTCTTCTCTCTGGGATCATGTTCAATACATAAATGTACTAGTGCAACTAATCAGTCAAGACTAACTGTACCATTGACACTACAACCGTTCGGATGGGGTGTTCATTTCCATCTAGGTTGTGAACCACAATTCTTGTTTCGCAAGTAACTGATAGAATGATCTTCTGTTCACCCGATGATGACCCATTCTATCTAAGTGCAGCACAACAGAACACAGAACTTGTTTAATCAAACATGATTCTCATTCATAAAGGGTAAAAGTGTAATATCATCCAAATTCAAGCTTTCAGTATATAACACTAACACGGCATCGGTGGTCGGCCGCACCCTAAACGGCCGCCATTTGTGGCCGCCCGCACCCTAATCAGCCGCCTTAGATGGCCGGTCATGCCACATGCGGCCGTCCATACGCTCTGCACGCGGGCGACCTATAACACCCCGATCAGATAAAATATAAGAATGGTTTCACTTGCTCGAATATAAAGTGAAACCGAAAATTTTCAGATTTCCGAGTTATTTGATTTAAGTGAATTACATGACTTATGTAATTTTATGTGCTTAAGTGCTTGATTATTATTTAAGTATGCTAGATTATTCAGTTATAGTGTTCAGAATATTTTCGTTCGAACCGAACCACTGAACTATAATGTCGTGCCCTAACCTCGTGTTCGCCGTACCGATGCACCGAGCAGTCGAGCCTTTGAACCGTGACCTTAGCATCACTTCGTGCTATAAGCATAGCACCTCGGCCCTAGTCCCTAATCGCGCACCAATAGAAGAACCGTGCCAAGGCACCGAGCAAGCATGTGCATGCCCTAGCCGCGAGGACAAGCCCCGCGCGTGCCGCGTCCCGCGCCCGTGCGCTAGTCACCGAGCCAAGGATCATTTAATCCATTCTATAGCTAAGTCCTAAGTGATGGGAGGGGCTTAGGGGATAATTAGCTATTACTGAGCCTAAGATCAAGGCTAAGTATCATTAGTTCTAGTCAAAGTCCATTAGAAATATTTTAAGCCTAATCTAGCATGGGTCTTGATTTAAATAATGCAATGTGTAAGTCTTGCTCCCCACTTACGTTCATCATGCTCGACCAGCATCTTTGCAGCAGCCTTGATGCTCTTTTCAACCCACTAAGCCACATGCAAAGTCAGCCCATGCACCATGACATGTCTTGTGGCATTGGAAATGAGAAAGAGCACTCTCGTCTCTCACCTTGTTTCTTGCCTAAGTTATATCGCCCCTAAGAACCATATATAAGGACTTCATTCAGCTCTTTGTATACCTCATTTGATGCTCTAAACTTAGAAGAAAGTTCGAGTAAAACCCCCTCTAAGTCATCAAAAACCGAAAGCAGACAAAATGCCGAGAATGATTAGCCTTGTAATCCCGAGTGCATACTTGTGATTGTTTCGAGTTCTAGCCATCAACTCTTGATACCAACCACATAATATCACTCTTACCTCATCCTACACTATCCCTAGGAGTGTTTTTGAGGCTTCAAGTTGAAGAAAAGTCGAAGAGATTAAGCACCAAGTCAAGAGAAAGAAAGGGAAGGCTACAACCGAGCATACCCAAGTTCTTTTGCGTTTTTGTTGTAGATTAAGAGCTTAAGGAGAGCCGAACCTCCGACAGCTACACCACTATTTTCCAACACTTGAACAGAAAATTTTCAGCATATCAGGTAGGGGCTCAGCACTGGGTATTACATTGCTTATAGTCATTTACCATGTCTGAGGTATGTATGTACATACAGTATATTTTTTTCCCAAGGGCAACGACTCCCAAGGGGGTCCTTGTAGCTACTTATCACCTGAATTGGGAGGCCAATGCCACTAACCAGGTTCTGGGGCGGCCAATGCCACTCGGAGTGTGCACATGAGTCCCGGTCAACACCGGTTGTTGCAGTTTGCCAGATATCCAGATCAGTTATTTCCATATATATTTATTTCATGATTGATAATTACATGTGCTGTATATTTCAGTGTTGGTTCCTGCGGAGTACCGTTGATTATCTTGTACTCACGCCCCCACTATTATCATTTTAGGTCATGGGGTCGAGCACGGAGCGTGATCAACAAGGTGGTGTGGTGGTCCGAGCGCGTGGACATTTGATTATGTCTTTATGTATTGTATAAGTTTATTTTCAGACTGTTCGGACATGTAGTTTATTTTTTCCCAACTTCCTCATGCTAGACATTTCAGACACTATGCATGTATAATTCCGCAACAGATCCCCGAGGGGATCCATTTTCTAGTATAGGCGGCATGCATCAAGTTATTTTCAGTTAATCAAGTGTGCATGTTGAATACCGTCATACGATCCCGCAAGGGGATCCATATCAGATTGCTAGACGGCAAGCATAAGATCAAGATTCAAGCATTTAAGTTGCATGTAGAATTCCGTCATCGATCCCAAGGGGTCCAATTTACTAGACGACATGCATATAGTTTTTCAGATAAAGATTTAGATTAAAGATATAGTTTCAAATAAAGATAAGATTCAGATAACTAGTTTGATTAAAGTAGTAGCACTCCCGCATTAAGATAAACTGTTTTCGAAAAATTAAGTCAGAGTTTCGAAGCCAAAATGCGAAAAATTTACTCCGTTTCGCGCAAGTCCTAGATTATAGTAGGCGGGTGTTACAGCCTGGTATCAGAGCGCATATAGCGTTTCCGTATACTTAACAGTTTTAGAAAAGCGACCACACCACGCTCACGCCCGTGCTGACTCCGAGGTAAGTCACCAAATTCAGTCTTTATTATTGCAAGTGTTTATTCAAGTTCAAGTATGATATATTAGGGGCCTAGATCACTATCCTTCTATAAGACAGATAACCCTAGAGAGAACTCTAGACAAAACTCTAGAAACAGCTAAGTCCAAGGACTCTTAGACTAAGTCAGAACTCCAGCTTAAGCCAGAACATAGAAGATCTAATTATACCGGAACTCTAGCCAAGCTAGGTGTCTTCGGATTTTTTTTTTTCATGAATTATTTCAAGTATAGTATAGCTATTTCCTAATCGGCTATACTGATCTAATCAAAGCGTTATTGGATCTCCAGAATGCCGCCTCGCAGAGATCCTTACGTCCCCGCTGATCAAGATCAGGCCGCAGTCGTCAGCCGATGTCGCACTTTCAACCCACCTCATTTCACCAGAGAGGATGGCCCACTGGCTGTCGGAGAGTGGATTCACAAGATGGAGCAAATCTTCCATGTGATGGGTTGTTCTGATGAGCATAAGATCGCTTGCGCTGAGTTTCAGATTGACAACGCAGCAGGGGACTGGTGGGATGACTATTGACGTCTGCGTACTGAGGACGAGCGCAAGGCTCTGACATGGCCTCAACTTAAGGCACTTCTGGAGGACAAGTTTTATCCTTGCCATTTCCGTTAGAGGATGGCATGAGAGTTTTACGCCCTACGGTAGGGTGACCGCTCGGTGGAGGAGTACGAGCGTGAATTCGCTTGCAAGTGCATCTTTGCTCCACATCTTGTGGACACTAAGGTGAAAAAAGCGACCCAATTCTGTGATGGACTGAGAAATAACATCCGACTGCTGGTGACCAGTCATGGCTATCTAGATTACGCTTAAACTGTTGAGCGAGCTCAGCAGATTGAGGTGTGCCTCCAGCTAGATGCATCTGTCCAGCCACCATCTAGACAACCAGCCACTATCCAGCCAGCACTGCCAGCACCACTTCAGCAGGCACCCCCTCAGCAGGAGCCACCCCAGCAGGTGCCGGGACAGAACAAGAGGAACAAGAAGGGCTTCGACAGGTGAGTCAGATAGAGGGGCCAAGGCCCAGCACATGGAGCTCAGCCTGTGCATGAGATTCCAGTTCGTCTACTTACAGACGCCGTCATCCTAGCGAGTGTCTGACAGGGCGAGGGATTTGTTTCCACTGTCGGAGGCCAGACCACAGAAGGGAGGAGTGCCCTGATCGTGCTCAGCGTCAGTAGGGTCAGCATCAGCCGGCCCCGAACTAGCCACACAGAGGACTGGCCCATATCTATGCCCTTGATCAGCCAGGGGCAGCAAAGCAGCCAGGTACTATGTCCGGCATGCTATATTTATTCCATATTCCAGTCTTCGCTTTGTTCGATTCTAGGGCGACACATTCGTTCGTCTCGGTCAAAGGATTATCAGCCATAGGGGCCTAAAGAGTGTGTATTGTCGACCCTCTCGAGATCAGCCTAGCTTCGGAGAGGAAGATAGTTACGTGTTCCCTCGCCAAGAACCTTAGCATTAATATCGGCGGCAGAACCCTAGACGTAGATGCATTTGTGATCGAGATGAATGATTTCGATTTGATTCTCAATATGGATTGGTTGGTGAGGTACCGAGCAGACATCAGATGTCGTGACTTGGAGGTGACACTGCACTTGACCGAGGGAGATCGCATCACGTTCTTGGGGACGTAGGCCCGGACCCTACACGTGTTATTTCCATGGCGAAGGTGACGAAGTGCTTACAGAAGGAGGACTGTCAAGGATTCCTAGTCAACATCGTTAGGGAGACCTCGGAGAAGCTGAAATCCGGAGATACACACATAGTTCGTGAATTCGTGGACATCTTTTCAAAACAGCTTCCGGGTGGACCACCTAACCGCCAGGTGGAGTTCACAATTGACTTAGTCCCTGGAGCGGGACCAGTGTCGAAAGCGCCGTATCGCATGGCGCCGAAGGAGCTTCAGGAGTTGTAGGATCAAATTCAAGAACTGCTGAGTCTCGGTTTCATTCGACTGAGCGTTTCACCTTGGGGAGCACCTGTCCTCTTTGTCAAGAAGAAGGATGGGACAATGCGTATGTGCATCGATTACCGGGAATTGAACCGATTGACGGTGAAGAACAAATATCCGCTTCCTAAGATAGTGGACTTATTCGATCAGCTGAGGGAAGCCAGCGTGTTCTCCAAGATAGACCTCCGCTCTGGTTACCATCAGCTGAAAATCAAGGAGGCCGATGTGGCCAAAACAGCTTTTCAAACGAGATACGGTCACTATGAGTTCGTGGTGATGCCGTTTGGCTTGAGTAATGCGCCTGTGGTGTTCATGGATCTCATGAACCGTGTCTTTCATCCATTTCTGGACCTATTTATCATCGTCTTCATTGATGACATTTTGGTCTATTCGAGCAGCCCCGAGCAGTATGAGCAGCATTTGAGGATTGTATTGGAGACTCTTCGGCGGGAGAAACTGTACGCCAAGTTCTCAAAGTGTGAATTTTGGCTAGATCCAGTGGCTTTTCTTGGCCACATTGTTACATCTAGAGGGATTAAAGTGGACCCCGGGAAGATTGAGGTGGTCCGAAACTGGTCAACACCAAAGAATGCCACCGAGGTGCAGAGTTTCCTCGGATTAGCTGGCTATTATAGACGATTCATTGAGGGGTTTTCTAAGGTTGCCCTACCCTTGTATCGATTGACGAGGAAATCAGTGAAGTTTGAGTGGAGCAGACATTGTGAAGCGAGCATTCACGAGCTCAAAGGAAGGCTAGTGACGGCGGCGGTGTTGACTATCCCGGATCCCGCACAGGGTTTCACTATTTATAGTGATGCCTCGAAACAGGGTCTAGGTTGTGTTTTGATGCAAGAAGGCAGGGTTGTGGCTTATGCTTCTCGTCTGCTAAAGCCGCACGAGGATAAGTACTCGAATCATGATCTTCAGTTGGCAGCTGTGGTTCACGCCCTGAAGATTTGGAGGCATTATTTGTATGGCAGTCGATGCGAGATTTTCACAGACCACAAGAGTTTGCAGTATATCTTCACTCAGAAGGAGCTCAACATGCGTCAAAGGTGATGGTTGGTGCTAGTGAAGGATTATGACTGCACCCTCAACTATCATCCGAGAAAGGCGAACGTAGTTGCCGACGCCCTCAGCCACAAGGG